TAGCATTAGGAGATATACCTAATGTAAATGACGAGTTAATGGGTGCAGCACACCAACATGGCACATGTATACATATGTAACAAACCTACACGTTGTGCACACATACCCTAGAACTTAAAGTATAATAAAAAATTTTTAAAAATTAAGAATTTATTTTTATTCAAAGACATTTTAACATTAAGTGTTAAAAAGCAAAGCATAGACTCATATTTGATAAACGAATTATATTCAGAATAAAGAGCTCCTACAAAAGAATAATAATAAAAAGACTGACAATTGATTTTTTTTTCTTTGGTTTAGATGGAGTCTCACTCTGTCACCAGCCTGAACCTCTCGGCTCACTGCAACCTCCACCTCCAGGGTTCAAGTGATTCTCCTGCTTTAGCCTCCCGAGTAGCTGGGACTACAGGCATGCGCCACCATGCCCGACTAATTTTTGTATTTTTAGTAGAGATGGCGTTTCACCATGTTGACCAGGATGGTCTCCATCTCTTCACCTCATGATCCGCCTGCCTTGGCCTCCCAAAGTGCTGGGATTACAGGCGTGAGCCACCGCGCCCGGCCTGACAATTGATTTTTTAAAAGAACAGGCAAAGACTCCTCACAAGAGAGTATATTCCAATGATCAATAAGGATAACAAAAGGGATGTGCAAATGGCTAGGTACAATTGGTTAGAGAATTGCAAATTAAAGTACAATGAAATACAGATACACATCTATCACGATAGCTGAAGTTAGAGTCTATCAATGCCAGCAAGGATGTGGAGCAGCCAAAGAAAGTATAAATGGTAGGAGCAAGGAGCCAGCACTACCCTTAGGCTAGGATAGCTGAAAGACAGGACCTCCCAGAAGTCCATTGGAAAAGAAACCCAACAACTGCCACCTAAGGCCCAGTAGGGAGGGAGCTTTCCTCTGCTAGCCAGTCTGTACCTTCCATTAAACAAACTAAATTGGAAGCCAGAGGGCGCTGGGTGCAGCTGATGCAATCCGAGAGGTCAGACTCCCATAGCACAGAAATGAGTGGAGGGCTGTGGTGACTGATCTGGAGGGGTAAACAAAGAGCCAGCACAGACTGTTTAATCATTTGATCATTTGTTTGCTATCTCTCTATCAATGTAGCTAGCTAGGTTAGTTAGTTATTTATTTTTGCCTAGCTGTTTCTGTTTATTTACTTTTTGATGGGAAAGTTGTTGCATATGTGAAGAAAATCAAATGGCACAAAAGATTCAGAATGACAAGCAACTAACGTTTGTATGCTTACAGGTCAGGCCTTTGCTAAGCTTATTTACAGACTTCAGGGCTTCTTGCTCGAGGTACAGTATGATTAAATTTTGGAGGTGGGAAGAGGACATTAGCTAAAGGCAGTTGCATGTGCTACAATAGTAACTTTTTTTAAAGTTTCAAAGGCAAAATACTTTTTCAGTGAATTTTATTAAAATTTTCATAATCAAAACTTACAAGGGAAGAGAGACAAGCATAGTCTAATACCATGATAACTAATAGTTATAATTAATTTGACTAATGTTTCCATTAATTAATTAATTTAATAGAGCAATACTTATTTTAAGGGAGTATTTATCATTTGAACAGCCGGCAATCATTTGTTCACCTTATTTTCTTAAAGAAAACATATGCAGAGGCAATGTTAAAATAATGACCACATTTTGCAATAGAAGGTTTTTGTGTTAAGTGCATGACTTTTCCCCTGGCACGAAAGACATGTTGTTCATTGCAGCAAATGGAATATATGCTGCACAAAATACTTGTCATTATCTAACCACCAAAAATACATTACATTTTAAATATATTTAATATTATTATCTTCTAACATATTTATAAACACAACTTTTTTAAGAATTATGTTTTATATATACCTACCTAAGAGTTATTTCAGGTTCAGTTCCAGACCACTGCAATAAAGCGAATAATGCAATAAAGTGAGTCACACAAATGTTTTGGTTTCACAGTGCATATAAAAGTTATGTTTACACTATCTTGTAGTCTAGTAAGTATGCAATAGCATTATGTGTAAAAAAATGTGAAAACCTTAAAAAATACTTTATTGCTAAAAATGCTAATTAATGATCATCTGAGCCTTGAGAGAGTTGTAAATTTTTGGTGGTGAAGAGTCTTGCCTTGAAGTTCATGGATGCTGACTAATCAGAGTGATGGTTGCTAAAGGGTGGGGTGGCTATGGCAATTTCTTAAAATAAGAGAACAATAAAGTTTGCCACAGTGATTGACTCTTCCTTTCACAAAAGATTTCTCTGTAGCATGCGATGCTGTTTGTTTGAAAGAAGTAGAACTTCTTTCAAAATTAGAGTCAATCCTCTCTAACCCCGTTGCTGCTTGATCAATTAAGTTTATATTATACATATATATGTGTATATACACATATATACACATAAATTTATATCGTATTCTAAATCCTTTCTTGTAATTTTAACAATGTTCAACTAATCTTCACCAAGTATAGATTCCATCTCAAGAAACCATTTTCTTGGCTTATCCGTAAAAAGAAGCTTCTCATCCTTCCAAATTTGATTATGAGCTTGTAGGAATTGTCACATCTTCAGGCTTTACTTAGAATTCTAGATCTCTTGCTATTTCTCCTACCTCTGCAGTTGCTTCTTCCTCTGAAGTCTTGAACTCCTCAAAGTCACCCAAGAGGGATAGAATCAACTTCTTCCAAACTCCTGTGAGAGATACTTTCACCTCCGCCCATGAATCACAAATGTTAATGGCATCTAGACTGGTGAATCCTTTCCAGAGGTTTTGAATTTACTTTGCCCAGATCTATCAGAAGAATCACTATATGTGGAAGCAATAGACTTACAAATGTACTTCTTAAATAATGAGATTTGAAAGATGAATTACTCCTTGATCCGTGGGCTGAAGAATGGATGTTGTTTTAGCAGGCATGAAAACAACACTACTCTCCTTGTACATGTCTATCAGGGCTCTTGGGTGAATAAGTGCATTGCCAATGAGCATTAATATTTCATAAGGCATCTTTCTTTTTTTTGGAGGAATATTTTTAGTTTGTTAAATAAAAATGTTTTTTAGAATGGTGCTTTTCACATTACGAAAATAAACCAAAATGAAGAAAAGGTCACTGTAAAATGATGGGAAAAGGATCTGTAGATTTGCTTTTAGTATTTCAAATAGTCAACAATGCACGCCATAAAATGAATGCAAGATCACAACAGTCTTGTATTTACTTTGTATTTGAAGAAGATAGTGAAATAAGTGGCCACATTCTATTTTCTTTTAATTGTTGTTAATATGGTTGATCCGATTGGCTCTTTGATGAGTTTCATCCACGAAGTTCTACAGTTGTTCTATTAGCATTCGTTTTTTAACCTTGATGCTTCTTTAATGACATTTTGTAAAAATATTAGTCTTGTTTGTAAACTGCCTTGCACATGCTTCAGTAAAGTGAAGATTCTTTCATATTTTCTCCCTGGCTTTCGGATCTCTTTCATTATTTGTGCTTTTAGTTTGGTATTGACCTCTTCATGGCTTTTGCAATGCATCACTTTCTTTCCTTTGTTGAATGAAGATGCTGGTATGTTCTTTTCAGCACATTGTTCTTTATCTCTTGGCTCCTCATAATTTTCTAAAAATCCACCAACAGTGAGGTCATTGGTTCCTAAATGGTCATGACCAAGAGCCTGCCTCTGTATGATTGGTTAGCTGTTCCAGTAAACTGACTGGAGAAGATGTTGAAAATTCAGTATCCATAGCATTTGGTGTAATGTCTGATGAAAGTTGGTCTGCAACATGATTTTCAACCACATCATGTACTATCGAATCCTTCGTGGTTTCTTGTCAGGAGAACCTGCTACCGATGGTTACATGAGTTCTTTTCTGTTTCCTAAATGTCTTGGCTGGTTTGAGAAATAAAGGGAAAGAGCACAAGAGAAAGAAATTTAAAGCTGGGTGTCTGGGGGAGACATCACATGTCGGCAGGATTCGTGATGTTCCCCGAGCTGTAAAATCAGCAAGTTTTATTAGCAATTTTCAAAAGGGGAGGGAGTGCACAAATAGGGTGTGGGTCACAGAGATCACATGCTTCACAAGGTAATAAAATATCACAAAGCAAGTGGAGGCAGGGCGAGATCACAGGACCACAGGATGGGGCAAAATTAAAATTTCTAATGAAGTTTCAGGCACACATTGTCATCTTATCAGGAAACAGGGTTTGAGAGCAGACAACCTGTCTGACCAAAATTTATTAGATGGGAATTTTCCTCATCCTAATAAGCGTGGGAGTGCCACAGGAGACTGGGGCTTATTTCATCCCTTCGGCTTCGACCATAAAAGACGGCACGACTTGAGGGGGCCATTCATAGGCCTATCCTCAGGGCGCATTCTCTTTCTCAGCAATGTTCCTTGCTGAAAAAAAGAATTCAGCAATATTTCTCCTATTTGCTTTTGAAAGAGGGGAAATATGACTCTGTTCCATCCGGCTCACTGGCAGCCAGAAATCTTATCTCTGATGTTCCCTGAACATTGCTGTTATCCTGATCTTTTTGCAAGATGCCCAGATTTCATATTGTCCAAACACACATGCTCTACAAACAATTTGTGCAATTGACACAATCACAGGGTCCTGAGGCAACATTCATCCTCCTTAGTTTACGAAGATGACGGGATTAAGAGATTAAAGTAAAGCCAGGCATAGGAAATTACAAGAGTATTGATTGGGGAAGTGATAAGTGTCCATGAAATCTTCACAACTTATGTTCAGAGATTGCAGTAAAGACAGGCATAAGAAATTATAAAAGTATTAATTTGGGGAACTAATACATGTCCATGAAATCTTCACAATTTATGTTCTTCTGCCATAGCTTCAGCTGGTCCCTCCGTTCGGGGTCCCTGACTTCCCGCAACAATTTCTGAAATTTTATGAAGAGGAAGAGGTTTAATAAGATCTGGCTGTGCTTGAGTTGTAGGTACAGGTGGTCCTTTTCCCCCTACATGATTGCTTACAACAGGATTCTGCTGTCTCCCTTTTAGTAGTGGAGACATACACCAATGTCTTTTAGGGATCCCTTGCATTTTTTGGTTCTCCAGGTCGTTTATGTTCATTTTGAGGTCCAGCCACAAATTCATCTGCTTCATCTATCATCATACCCTTCTTATCCAGCTTAAAGGGGTTGCCAAATGTATGCAACCTTTGTGGCTGATCAGGATTAAGTTCTCTTAGTGGAGAAGGTACTTGCTTGAGGTATTTCTGGTAGTTCCCCATTTGTGCTATACGAACACTGTGCACTGATCTTCGTCCTGTCCTTTAAGAAATATGCAAGTGTGCTTCAAAAGATTAGATCTCATTCTTGTTAAGTGATCCAAAAGATTTCATCTTGGTATGTCATAAGCATTTCTAAATGTCTGTGGCTTCAAATCCTTATTCAGCAAAGCAACTTGGAACCCAGTGTGTTCCTTCATATTAAGGTCTAGCAGTCTGTGAGGGACATCCTCTGAAATTCCCTGGAGGAGTTGTTGAAAATCTCCCCTATATGCCATTGATAAACCATGTGATCAGCTCCGGACTTTTATTCCAGTTTCCTGTACCACCTTTTTTGCCTACAGATTCAGTGACTCGATCAGATTCTATTTTGGCTTGTTGACTCAGTTTTTTGAGGTGTGAAATGACACTGTAACTAAGTCCGTATTCCATACTGTCTGCTATTAGGTTAGGTGCTCCCATAATACTAACAGCTTTCTTCAAGGGCCCGAGATAGTAAGGAGGCATTGTCTTCAAACAACTTTCAAATGACTGTCTTCACTTCAATGTTGGTTTTGCCTTACACACTTTAAACAAGTCATCTAAGAGGGGAAGAAGGACTGGATAATTGTAAGCCATCACAAATAAGTTGACACAGTTCAGTGCTGTACTGGCTTTCAGGTAACCAAAAGGATGACCAAGTTCACTATATTTTGCACTATTGCTCACATACACCTGCCAACATGTTTGAGGAGATTTCCTTTCCAGGATAAATAGAGTCAGTGGTGAAGGTTCCAACTCATATTTGTCACAAGGAAGTTTATCAATAACCATTGGTTCACAGTCTATACAGGAAAACTTCACTACAGGATGAGATGTATGAGGTGGTAGTGCTGGCGAATTTTGATCTGGCCAAAAAGACTCTGGAACAGGCCAATGACCTATAGGAATCCCAGTTTTAGGATTTGGTGTGACATATACGAGTTTGTGACAGCTATGCCAAGGCTGAGATCCAAAGGGCCTTGAAATATCTGGCTGCCCATCTTCTACAGGGGAAGGATCTGGTCCTGTTTTTTCAAAGTTTATTACCACCCCACTTTGTACTTTCTGCACCAAGGACTCTAGACACTGATTAAGTGTTCTTGGAGAACACACAAAATATGAATGGCTGCCTGTCACTTCACATATTGGTGTGATTGCAGAGTCATCTAAAGGCACACCTGTCAACTGTTCTGATTCTACCGACATGGTGCCGGGCAACCGCCAACACTAATGCACAGAGTCTCTGATCCCAACAAAAAGGTTCCTTGGTCAATTCACTTCCAGGCAAAGGAGAATTAAGAGGTAAATGAATCTCATCCTGGACTCCACTGGTGGTGGTCAACTTGCTCCCATCAATAATTGTGATAATTATTTCTGACTTCAAGAAAAAAGGGTTTCTTCCCTGCCCATAGTTGTCTATGCCAGTTACTAATCTATTTAAATTTAATAAATCAAAAGCTGTCCTTAGGGATTGGCCAAGAGTCTTAAGTCCTTCAGCCTGAAGGTTTTTCACTTCATTCATAAACGTTGCATGGTTTTCTTTCCATCCAGCCTTAATAGCATAGGGCGGCTCTTCGAAAGTGACCAGCATATACCTGTCTCCTCTGCTGGCAGGGCCCCGGGCACGGAGCTGCGGGATGGGAGGAGGAACAGAGCGGGCAAGAGGGAAGCACAGAGGCGAGGTTAGGAGGCAGAGAAGGGGCGCCCAGCGGCCCCGCCGCCCCCACAGTACCGCACACGCAGCTGCCACCCCTCCACGCCGCTCCCCCCACACAGATTGCTCCCCACTTACCGCCCGGGCCGGAGCCTGAGCCCCGGCCAAGCCCGTCTGACAGCGCCCGCCCGGTGGGGGAGGGGAGGGGAGGGGAGGGGCATTTTTCTTATCAGCAAGTCTCAATAGTGGGCTTAAAATATTCAGTGAAGTGCGCTATAGATAGATGTGCTATCTTTTAAGCTTTATTGATCCACTTATAGAACACAGGCAGAGTAGATTTAGCATAATTCTTAAGGGTTCTAGGATTTTTTGAATAGTAAACGACCATTGACTTCAACTTAAAGTCATCAGGAGCATTAGCCCCTAAAAAGAGAGTCAAACTGTTTTTAGAAGCTTTCAAGACAGGCATTCACTTCTCCCTACTACAGACCTAGATGAAATCCAGTATAGGGCTATTTCTTCTACATTGAGAATCTGTTGTTTAGTGCATTCATCTTCATCATTTATCTTAGCTAGATCGTCTGAATAAGTTGCTGTAGCTTCTCCATCAGCATTGCTGCTTCATCTTGTGCTTTGATGTTATGGAGATGGCTTCCTTCCTTAAATTTCATCAACCAACTTCTGCTAGCTTCCAACTTTCTTCTACAGCTTCCTCACATCTATCTCTAGGCTTTCACTGAATTGAGAGTTTGCACCGGGTTAGGCTTCGTTTCAAGAGAATGTTATAATTGGCTTGATCTTCTGTCAAGACCACTGAAACTTTCTGCATGTCAGTAATAAGGCTGTTTCACTTTCTTATCATTTGTGTGTTCATTGAAGTAGCACTTTAAATTTCTGCCAATAACTTTTGATTTGTATTCACAGCTTGGCTAACTGTTTGGAGCAAGAGGCCCGGCTTACAGCCTATCTTGGCTTTTGACATGTCTTCCTCATTACACTTAATCATTTATAGCTTTTTACTTAAAGTGAGAGATACGTGACTCTTCCTTTCACTTGAACACTTAGAGGCCATTGTAGGATTATTATTTGGCCTAATTTAAATATTGTTGTATCCCAGGGAATAGGAAGGATCTTGGAGAAGCATATAGATAGGGGAATGACTGGTCTGTGGAGCAGTAAGAACACGTACATGTATTAATTAATTTTGCTGTCTTATATGGGAGTGGTTTGTAGTGCCCCCAAACAATTACAATAGAAAGTTTAAGATCACTGATTACAGATCACTATGATAGATATAATAAAAATTAAGCTTGAAAGATTGTGAGAATTATCAAAATGTGACACAGAGATCCAGAATGTACAAATGCCATCTCTGTGTAGCATTGGGAAATGACACTGATAGACTGATAAAATTGCTTAGTGCAGACTTGCCACAAACCAGTTTGCAAAAATGCAGCATCTATGAAGTGCAATAAAGTGAAGTACCATAAAGTGAGATATTCCTGTAAGTTAAGTATCCTTTGTTTTCACATATACCACAAATGTTTCCCCATATGAACATCATTGCATAGATTTCTATTGTCCATATCAGTAATAATTTCTTAATGAGGGATCAAATTCACATTAAATATTTTAAAAAATCTTGATACATAATAGAAAATTACCTCCCTGAAAGGATTCATCAATTTACACTCTTGGCAGCATTTAATCAGAATTCAGGTTCACAGTTTCTTCAACATTTTGTTCTTTGAAAATTTGATAGGCCAAAATCTGATGTCAATATTTTATTATGAATTTATTTGATTACTTGTGAGATTAAATATGCTTTCTTGTTTAACAACCAGTTTTATTTCTTCTGTTTTATGCTGTAATTTATTTAACTGAATCCGCATGTTCTGTCCTTTTGGCTAATAGATATTTAAAATAATTATTTTTTAACAAAGAATAAGTATGCCAAAAATTATTATATGAGTTTTGAATATTTCACTAGTTTGTCTTTTAAAGTAGCTTCTAATTTTTTAACACTAAAACAATTTTGACTTTATATGTAGTCGAGTGTTTAACTTTTTGTATAACTTTTAGTGTTGGGGAGTTTAATTTGGCTTAAAATTTTAATATTTAATCCATTTATAGTTTATTTTAATGTAGTTGTAAAGGGAGATCCAATTTTATTGTGTGTGCGTGTAGATATGCATACATATATATATTTAAAATTTATTTATTTTTGAAATAGAAAGCCTTTCCTAAAATGTATAAGAGAAACTTATTTGTTCCACACTAAATTATTTTATTCTTTACACAAGCCATAATGTTGACTTTTTTCATGCCTTACAGCTAGAACTTCTAAAACAATATTACTAACACTATTTACAAGAATCCTTATTCCCCATTTATTTTAATAGAAATACCTCTGTTACTACGAAATACTTAATTATTCCATCATAGTCTATAATTTGATTTGTTTATTATCTTTTTAATCCAAAAGTTACTATGGAATACTTTTAATTTCTAAATTGTAAAGTATGTATAGTGGTGAATGAGATTTAGTGATTGTGTTTTTGTTATTTATTTTTAACTGAAATATATTTTGTATGTATTTGTAGGAAAATAGATACTTGTAAATGTAGCATTTTATGATTTTTTGAGACATTCTTTGTGATTCAGTGTGGATATTTTTCTCCATATGCCAATATTTTTCTCCATATCCATATTAAAAATGTGGATAACAAAGTTAAATTTACAGTTAATAATATAATATTACAAATTATCTTATATGTACTTTTTGTGTCCTTGATTAATAGTTTTTAGGAGGTGTATATTATAAGTATAGCTGCAAAAAAACTCATAGTAGAACATGTCAATGCAATATAGCTACTGATTTGATGACTCTTACTTTGGATTCTGTGTTAATATTTAATAGTACTGCACTGTTCCTATTTGAGTTTCTTAGATGGATTTTAATCCATCTATTTATTTTAACATTTTATTACTATTTTGATTTAGATATATTTCTTAAACTTTTGAGTTTTATTATTAATTCAATATAAGAGTTTTTTTTGTTTTTGTTTTTGTTTTTGTTTTTGAGACGGACTCTCTCACTTTAGCCCAGGCTGGAGTGCAGTGGCATGATCTCTGCTCACTGCAAGCTCTGCCTCTCGGGTTCACACCATTCTCCTGCCTCAGCTTCCTGAGTAGCTGGGACTACAGGCGCCCACAACCATGCCCGGCTAATTTTTTTGTATTTTTTGTAGAGACGGGGTTTCACTGTGTTAGCCAGGATGGTCTCGATCTCCTGACCTCGTGATCCACCCACCTCAGCCTCCTAAAGTGCTGGGATTACAGGCGTGAGCCACTGTGCCAGGCCCGAGATCTATTTTTAATAAGATATTTAATCTATACTAATTTCATAGCAAATTAGCATGCTCAAATTGAATTCCTCCTTATGAATTTTCATTCTTCAGGAGTTTTCATCTCAATAAATGGCCATGACATTAATCCAGATTCCAGGGTACGCATCACTATTTCTCTCTCTTTGATACTTTGAAAATTCAGTTCTGGCTGGGCATGGTGGCTGAAGCCTGTAATCCCAGCACTTTGGGAGGCTGAAGTGGGTGGATCACCTGAGGTCGGGAGTTCAAGACCAGCCTGACCAACATGAAAAAACCCCATCTCTACTAAAAATACACAATTAGCCTGGCATGGTGGCACCTGCCTGTAATCCCAGCTACTTGGAAGGCTGAGGCAGGAGAATTGCTTGAACCCAGGAGGCGGAGGTTGTGGTGAGCCGAGATCGTGCCATTGCACCGCAGCCTGGGCAACAAGAGCGAAACTCCATCTCAAAAAACAAAACAAAACAAAACAAAACAAAAGAAAACAAAAAAAGAGAAAATTCAGTTCATCTGCAAATCCTGTTGACTATATCTCGAAAGTGAATTTCAATTCTGCCTCTGCCCATCTCCCTTGCCTAATAATACATCATTATTTCTCACTTAACACTTTCACAATGCTTCCTCTATTGCCTCCTGTAATGGATTCTTCATGTTGGAGCCAGAGTTATATCTTAAAGTCTTTAATCCATTTTAAAAGTGTAACTCAGACTATAAGATTCTTATGCTTTAAACTTTTCTATGAATTCTTTTATTTTAACCTAAATGCAAACTTTTTTCTTTTGTTTTTTTCGCATAGTTACTTCTGTATTCCTTCTCAACCTAAAGTCAATTCTCTTTCTCAGTTGCTTCTGTCCATCCACACTGGTCTTTTATCTTTAAGCCAGCCAAGTTCATTCATCCTTTAGGACCTTCGTATATACTTTTCCTCTGCTTAAAATGTTCTTCAACCCAGTTTTTGGCATCTCAGCTCCCCTTTCGTAGGTCAGGCTTCATTTCACATGCCTTGGCCTGTGAGCCTTTCTCCAACTATTCTATGTAGATAAATTGCTCACTACCTCACCCACTTACTCTAACACAATCATATTCAAACCGTAGAAGATATTCCCAAGGATATTCCAGCAATGATAGATTTAAGGAAATCTATCAATTCAATTAACTTCCATGTATTTTATCATACCAGGTTATATGAAAAAATCACTTGGTTGCCAAGAAAAAAAAAAAAAAAAGAAAGCTTTTTGTAATATTTAAACAAGACACATGCATCTTGCAGGCCTCTTCTCTTATAAATATTTATCTTAATGGTGAAATATAGGATCGACAGAACGGCATTTTGGCTCTGTTAGGAAGTTTTGAATGTAATCAGATGGTGGAGTGGACAGGTATAAGTAATCATTTAAAAAAAATCAAAGAGTGCATCATTCTTAAAAGAGGATACCAAGAGTAAAAGTAAGATAGCATAAAAGAGAGACGTTGAATGCACACAACATTTTAAAAAACATATTTAAAGTCAAGCAATTATCTTCAGAAATCTTTATATTGTATTCATCTCTAAAATGTTTTATCTTAGAAATTACCTTTAGTGTATTAAAGCAGCATTAGTTATTATGCTAATTCTTATAGTTAGTCTCTAGCTAGATATTCTTGAAGACTATCAAAATTTTCAATATACAATGGATAAAATCCAAGGATAAAACTTACGTATAATGTCTTTTAGCATTAGTGCATATTAACCAATAAGGTAAATAAAACTGACCTAGTCAAATCATATCTTGAAGTATTGTTTTAATTATAATTAA